TTTGAACATGCCAACTTCTTCCCATGAAGTACACCTCAAACTAACTCATCTTTTACAAATGCACCCAGCTGATTCTATGTGAACCCTAACAGAATGCTCAGTCCAATCAGGGTCACTTGGGTTTCATTTTCTAAGGTTTGTGTAGGCACACAGCCGACAATCAATTACATTGGTGGCGCAAACCCAGTCATATGCAGTTACTGTATTCTCCCTGCTGCTGATTCACAAAAAAGATTCATCTGTAGTGATTATTCATGCAGATCTGGAACTGGAGGTTAGTGCCCAGCACTGCTGTATCTTTTCCTCACAACCTGACAGAGCATAACCACCAACTGAACTTCCAACACTGCATCCACACAGCTTCTCACCTCTACCCAAGGAACTGCGTTTTCACCTGGAACAATCTCAATTGCCTTTAGTAGACTTTAGATAACAACACTAAAAGCAGGCTAAAAAAGGGATAAGCGACATGAAATGAAGAGTGGGCCCCGATACAGAAATGTTACTGAATTATGAAACTTAAGCTACCATTAAAAGTCATACATGCGATGTCATAGGTGGACTGTTATATACTGTGAACACCTAATTAGTTCCCCAAGCCATCTGTGGTTTCGGAAATTAAATTATTTAAAAGGCCAAATATTGTTCTCTTCACTGACTTTGTCAGATTATTTCGCTTTAACTAACAGGTGTCACAATATATAAAGCATTTCTGGAGCTATTACAGAAAAATTAGGCATTGTAATAAAAATCATAATGAAATATTATTTCCATGACCTTCTTCTTTGGTTCAGAATGTAAATGGCTTAATGTAGTTTGTGAATGATCCAGCTTCAATAATAGGCCTGAGTATTGTCATTGCATAGAAGCCTGCCAAGACACATGGAAAGACTTGCTGACAACCTACCTAGAGAGCAACAAATAGCACATGAGCTTGGAGGCCATTCATGAATCTCAATACTCAAGAACCACAGGCATAAATTTGCAAGGACTCGCATGCTAATGGTCTGAGCACATCAGTTACAGAGAACAATAGCCATGGAAGACATACAGTCAGATAATACTGGATCATAGTACATCATGCTCATGATGCTCAAGATTTTGAGATTTGTGTAGCCACAATACCTGAATAGAACATGTTTTTGGCCTTCTCCATCTGGTTCTCAGAGAGACCAGAAAGAAAAAAGGAAAGAAAAAAAAAAAACAGATTAAATTATTAGGATATGGAACAAATCAATGTCCGCGACCCTGAATATTACTGTGTGGTAGTTAACTTTACACAAGGGATTATTTACTTATTGATGACTGTGTAGGAAATATGCGAGATAGTCGTGCTTTGATCTTATTTTCAGAATCAAATGCTTAAAAGTACCTTTGTCTTCTATTTCAAAATATAAGCATAGCACAACCCCAGTATTAAACCAAACACAAATTCAAAGGAGTCCTAATGAAGACAGACAGTCATTTCACATTTCATTTGTTTTATGTGCTTAAGTCATTGATCCCTAGATGCACACTGAATCTTCCGTTTTTTTTTTTTGCCTCTAAAATTTATGCAAGACGAGTTCATCTTGTAAACAGGCCTATTGAAACTCGGGGAAAGAAAACATCTTCGGGCTTGCCCAGAGGGACCCTGTCAGATTTTGATGGCTGTAGATGATTTCTGTGTGCACTGACAGTAAAAACCAATATTAAAAACTATGAAACTACTATACATATCAATGACTAAGATAAAACACAGCTTGGTCCCGCCCTAGACATGGAAGGCAACCCGGGATAAAATTCCCTTGCATCGCACAAACACCTAAAAACAAAAACTTTCAGTGCTACAGTCTATCGCAACATCTGGCTCCTTGTGTAAGCAGATATTAGGATCAAATTAACTAGAAATGAATGGAATGATATATGACAGGGTGCAGATGTTCAGGGCGGCGGTGTGATAATCTGGTTGCGAGGACGACATAATGAATTCAGCAGAGTACAGCAGGGACACCAAAGCCCTGCTTAAAGGTAAATGTGGTGGAAAGTTAGAACACGCCAAGCAAGCAGAGGTGTTCCTAAGCAGCGTGGGTAATTGCTTTATTGTGTGGTGCCTTTTGTTTTAGCTGTAATATGTTATCACTGCCACCTTTCAGAGCCTAAATGCACACACTTTTCTGCACAGTAGCATTCAACGGTGCTTTGAGTGCAGTGAAATTCAAATAACCTCAATAGCCTCTCTCTAAGTCTGTTGATGTCAATGACTATTAATGCATGCACTTGTAATTGAAATATGTGAACAAAAGTGAAGTTAGTGAATGTGTCATTCACGGAAGATTTGGAAGACTTGATTCTCAAAAGTGATAAATTGAACAAATGACAAATTTAAGCAGTGATATTTGGAATTGAACAAGAGAGTGAATTTTATTGGATTGATAGTGTTACCTCCACAAAGACAACACTGGGAGGAACCACCCCATCACTTCTTTGCAGCAAAATACAAAATACATACTTCAGTGTTCTTACATTATTCTGTACAATGTTAGGACCATTTACCAAATTACCAACCATTTTGTTTGCCAGAAAATTTTGTACCAGAAAACAGAACAAGATGATTTTAAAGAAAACATTTTGCATACATATTGTTAAAAATACGGACCGTAAGTTAAGCTATGGGTGCAGAGCAATAAAAGTATTGTGTGTGTAACATGTAGTATGAGGAATCCTTGACCCCATTTTATGGTGAGTTTAAACTGACAGCCATCGCTTCTTTGCATGTTTGAGTAATTTAGTGTGCAACATCCCATGTCTGATGGCAGGGTGTGTACTATGTGGTTAAGCTAACTAGCCATTTTAGCCATGTAACAGATGACTGCTTAACATGACATTACTGAGTAGCACTCTGACACTAAATGATTAATGTTGTTAATGAAATATAAATATTCCAAATTTTAAATAGCAATACATTGTCAATATTTAACAATAATAGTACAGTAACAAATCTGCACAGTGGCATTTATCGATATATAATTTATTACTGAAAACATGCTTAACTGCACCTCTTAGTACTGTACAAAGGTATTTAGGGAAATGTTGTGACTTCTGCTTCCATATTGACAGAACACATGAAGGACTGAAAAAAAAACTCCGCATAACACAAAAAAAATGGCTTTTAAGCACAACCTCTCCTGTAACAACTGAGCTGACCAGCTGGCTCTGAATGAATATGTACTTAATGGCAAGGTGCTGAGTTCGGGTCAGTGCAGGGTGTTTGTTTGGCTTCCCATACATGCTGCTATGCCACTCCTGTGATTCTATTAGGCTGCCTAACACACCTGAGGTGAGCAGTCAGATCCCCCCCCCACTACCACCCACCCACAGTGAGCCCAGGTGGCACAGAGCCACCGTCCTTCCTCTGCGCCAGCCTTCGCCGCCACTTAGGTGACAACAGGTTGGCACCAAGCAGGGTTGCCGCAGGACCCACCCGCCGAACTCGGCAGAAAGGATGTGATCACACCTCTTAATATAAACGGCTGGCTGTGTTATTTCCAGCTAAATTACATTATTATGACTTCATTGTTGCATCACAATCCTCTTAATTAGAGCCTGGAGATCTGTGCCACAGATCTGCTCCTGGTATAAATAATTTACTCTGGTAAAGTAGGTTTGCATACACGGGAGGGTGCTGATCTCATGCCAGTCCTTCAATGAGATTTTAGCTGCAATATTGTTTAAGGGGCCCTTTTTTCTCTAATCATATTATAGTCATTGGGAAAATTCCTAAAACCTGTACACTGAACATACTTACCACTACCAAGAATGACCAAATAAATGGAAAGAGCAGGATTCAGGGACACAATGACATTTATAAACAATATGTATATATAAAAATAATAAACACCATTTTTTACTAATATTTTTCCTGACTATCCATTTTATTATGCTGTTCTACATCTCCAACTACATTCCATACATTTTAAAATGTTTGCAATTTTTTACAATTATGGTATTTTTTTATTTTAGTTTGCAGAAAATTTGAGTTCTCATTCCACTTGTATTTATAATGTGCAGGATTGTTTGAGTTTATAAAAAACACTATATAAATAATGTTCGGAATTAACTACATCAGAACAATACTACTACTAATTCTTATAGTACGAGCAATATTTCTTATTTTCAGTGGCAGTACGAGCGGTATTAGTTAATGCTGATAGTATGATAAGGCTTTTGTGCGTGCGACCACTCCGTTTGAACATAGAATTCAGAATGTGACATTGCTGCAGGTCATCTATGCTCGAGTCAGTCAAAGCCAACAACTGTATCAAGGGTTAGGTGAAGGGCCTTGGGAAACTAACATATTCAGAGGTGAAATTTAAAAATGCATTCCAGCAGGGGAACGGATTGTGTGCTTGTTTACCTCAAAAAATGCATTTGTGTTCAAGGGGCACGCACCCACATCCGCTAATGTAAGTTGTAATCCATTGCAAGTCTAAGTACGTAAACTAAATTTCATAGAAACTCCTATCTTCCGTGCATCTATAATTGACTTGTTATTGTAACACTTACTTAGAGCCTGGCGTTTCTCCACGGCTAAGAGGGTTTTTTCCCCCTTCTTCTCAGTCTGCGGATCTATTTTTAAGATGGATGACTCCCCCTGCTCCTGTCCAGACTGGGAGCTAGAAAGTTTACTTTCCTAATAAAGAACAGGTGCACATTTCTGATGTTTTATTGCTTTTCCAGCAGCGATGTGAGTGCTGACAATGTAACAATGAACCATGGCGTTAAATAAATTCTCTATTTCTTCCTGAGGTCACATGCCCAACCCTCGTTATGATTTAAAGCACCTCAACTTAAAGTCCTTTAAATAGACACTACAAAATGACTATTTCGCACATAAATTTAAAAATATGTACACCAAGTATAGAAAATGATAAATGAAAAAGACTGTTTATGGACACAAAATTCTACACGTCACATTCTATACATCTAATTGCTTACTTTTAAGATACAAATACCGGTACTATTTTTTTTTCTTTATTACGTTAATATAAGTAGTGGAAGGCAAACACCAACAATGAATTCTATGTGAGGACAGCCGGACAGTTACATTACAGAACAGCAAGAACCCCACCAAGTCACAGAAAATTTATAGCATAGGCCAACAAATCTTTCCTCATCTACACCTCCAGAGTGCACAGAACACGTAAACAAAGCTGAAAATGAACTGCGATGTAAAATGACACAGGAGAAAACATTAGGGTCAATAAAATGAGATGTGAGGATGCCATGGGTGAGTCTGCATGGACACAGTCCGTCTACGAGCCCTGCACAAAAATAACAGAATAAACAACTACGGCAAACCAAATGAGATTTTTTTTCCCCCTTTCCACCTACAACTTTGTCATTTTCACCAGCAGCCATGTTAAAATTACAGCAGTCTGGCAAGTGGTGAAATGAATGAACCATGACCATAGATCCAATGAAACCTAAAACGCAGATGGACTGTGTCGTGCTGACAACTGTAAATTCAATTTGCTCATCACTCAGCAGTAGAGTACAGGTCAGACAGAGAAATCGGGCTCAGAATTTCTCTCACCTACCCACCCAGCCTCTTAAATCATCCAGACTCAATATTCTTTAAAGCCAAAAAAGAAATTTTTGCACATGACATATTGTGACCAATATCATAACACATTTCCATAAAGATATTACAGACTCATGTCTTATATTTAAGGCAACACCCTCAGAGTCTTTCCTGTCCTGATCACAAATGTCATACCTTTCCTTAAAAGGAGTAATTGCTCAATTTTTTTTACAAAATATCCACAAAGTACTTAAACTCATGCACCAAAAAAGCATAAAACAGAGAAATTTTTTTTTTTTTGCTTCCATGAAATTACTAAGAGGTTCATTATCCTGTTTATACCACAGGTAACCTGAAAAGGAACAGAAAAAATGAATGAACAGTACATAAACAAACCGAAACCCTTCTCAGGAAGTTTAGTTAAGATTCCTTTCATTTATTTCCTTAAAGACAAATGCACAAATCCTTAAAAGGAATCGTTTCTTTTTGGAATAGATCTGTCCAAAGATTTTCAGACTCTCATGTAAAAGGTTTACATTTTCGACAATCTCATGCAAATAAAAATAAAACAAACTCGGTTGATTAAGTAGGTTGAGACATGGGCAGCGGCAATAAAGCACACTTAATTGGAATCCATGGCTGGTTGGACTGTGCCACTTGGTGTGCCAAACCGCACCACGGAAGGCAGGTTCAGCTCGTGCGCTACTCATCCAGCACCTACGCCTCCTTACCTGGAGGATGGATAATCCTGCCCGCTTCCTCTCCCCACTGGAGCACTAATATACAACCTTCCTAGCCAACGACCACTTTTCATCCACCCAAAGCTTCGAGGCTTCTTATGTCTGCGCTGGCACGCTGCCCTCTCAGACACAACGTCCCACATTAGCGTCCCACACCGAGGGCAGGTGAGCGATTTCACTGGCAATGCTCTGCACGTTGCTGTGTTTGCAAGGCACTCCACAGACCTTGTAGAAGTATTTTACTACTTTATTCCTTTTTTCTTCCCCCAAGAGCAATACACATCTACTGGGTCTGTTTGACAGGCATCCAGTCATCTCTCAGTGGGCTTGAAAAAAGATCTGCCCCTTGTCAATGCCCGTTTACAGAGACTAACTCACTTACTCCAACATCTGGCAGAAGGGCATTGGCCATCCTGTTTCTCTGAGTTTACATCTGGCAATATGAAAAGACAATAAATAAACTAGGAATAACATATACAGGCTGAGAAATTAAAGAAAAAGAATGGAACAATCAACACTTAAAAAAGAAGGGGGGTGGTAGTTTCTAAGAACATTGTGAGCCCCTCCCAGAGGTGGATATTTCAGATCCAGAAAGAAAAAATCCAAACCAGGATTTTGTTTCAACCAACCAGTTGAGTATAAAGAGTCACAGTCACAGAGTACTCAACTGGTTGGTTGAAACAAAATCTTGGTCTGGATTTTCAGTTTCTGGACCTGAAATGTCTGCCTCTGGCCCCTCCAGATTCCCCGCCCAGCGCACTGGCACTGTCTTTCATTCTGGGCTGGTACTTCCAACAGGAAACTGACAGGGTATTGTGTGACACCATGGAATGTTCTACAGCTCTAGCCTGGCACAGCCGACCTACCGCTGACAACAATGCTCTTTTTGTCCGCCTCACTTTCCGCAAAATTTTGAGTCTGCTTTTCAGACACAGGTGGTGCACCGCTATATGGTCACACATTTCTCACCGTCTGTAACTGAAACAGCCACTTCTGCTATGTCGGGCATCACGGCCTCTGTGCTAAGGTTTCTATCCTTAGCCGAGGAAAACATCTTACAGAAAAATCACTTTAAAGGTAATGCGTCTGAAGCTCTCTACTATGTTCTTATTTTAAGGAAGTGATGTTTTGGAAATCACTCTCAAATAGTTATTTTTAAGATTTGGGTTTCAGTGTCAAGTACACCTTAAGCATAAGGTGTTTTTTCACTCTCCCATCACTGTGAAAATCCAGAAAGTACCAGAAATCCAGAAATTGCTCTCTTCCCGCAGTTAAAAACTATGGCCATGGCTTTTCTAGCCTCTTAGGACTTACCGTTATGCACAGTATGCATACCATCTGTTGCAGAGATAAAGATTAATTTTGCTTTACATGTTTAGAAATGTATCCTTCTTAGAAACAATGAAAAGCATTTTTTTAAGTAAATAAAACTTGGGGCACAAATAACAAGTAGTGATACTTTGCTTTACTCCACAGACAAAAATTTCCTATTTATACCCAGCTGGATATTTTTACTGAAGTAATTCAGGTCAGGTACTTCACTCAATGTGCAGCGCCAGAGCCTCTCTTGGGACCTGCACCTAAAGTATGTTAAATTACACTTTGATTGTTCGTAATAGTGCCTATAACATTAGCAATTACAATTTACATAAATTTTCAGCAAATGGAGAGAGTAAAGCTTTATTCATATATTAATTACTGCCCATAAAGAAAAGATGTCAAGTTCTGGTGGGTATGCTACAAGACACAGGAAACGAATTTCACTATGCTTTGGAGATGAAATATTAGGTGCAGTTTTAATACACAATAATATGAATATTTTTCTGTGTGCAGGTCTGTCTCCTGATCTGAATTTAAGGAGAATATCGAGTGACCTGTTGTGTGACTATGTTGTAGCTGGTAAACACAGTTATCCTGACAGCTCTGGGTGTTTTGAATTATACACTCCTGCAGAATAATTCAGAAATGGCCAGCGTACCAGACGGATGTGTGCCAAGTCTCCAGCCGACAACCCATATTTTTGTACCGTGATGGGTCTAGGTTTAACTTTACACTAAAATTAAGAATGTGGATTTTTTTTTGGAACTTAAAGGCCCTGCACCTTTGGACTGAGCTTCAGGACCTCATGCAGGCACAACTGGAAACCATCTTCCTAGAACTTATGACAAGAGAGACTGAGAGTAAAACTATGAATTATTATGTAAAAGGAAATCTTTGTGCTGAAGAAACTGAAGACAACTCGTTACGATTTTTAGAAAGCCTAAGTGTGGATGGCTCCTAAGACTGGCATTCACTTACCTCAATCTCTTGGTGTCAGAAGTACACAGCCTGTGAACGCACCACAGTGTGCACCATTCATGTGGGGGAGCGGAGGGATAACTGCTGGGCCACATCTACACAGCAGTTGTGAAACCTTGACACGACGTATTGCTCACAGGTTGACAGACGTTCTTCTCCTGGCTACACCCTCTGGAGCTGCAGCTAGTTACATGAAGCAGAGGCACATAAGTACCTGGCCTGCTAAACTGGGTGTTACTGGGGAGTATAGGAAAGCATGCCATTTTAAATCTCTGTTTTAATGTAGCTTTATCAGAACTGCCACACTGCGTATTCTTAAAATACATTAAAAAAGTATTTTACAGCAGAAATGCAGGGTCTCAAGGTGAGAAAGCCTGGAGTCTATTCAAGACACCATGCAGTATAAGGCTGAGAGAAGCCCTGGATGGGATGTCATTACATTGCAGGGCACACACTGCTACAGTGTCACACAGCATGGATAGAGACGTAATTTGCCAAGAACACCCAGAAGATACTCATGCAACTCAGAAAGTATGTGCACACACTAAAAATATATGTATACATTGTTATCAATATGAATAGAAATGCGCAATAACAATTGCTTGGCAATCTGAATTTAGGGTTAAGGAACAATAAGAAACTTATCCAAAAGTTCCATGGTTGGTACTGGGGGATAATTTTTCTGAAGCTGCTATCCACGAACCAAAGCTACTCCTCCACATGCACTTTGGTGGGTCTGATGTAAAGCGACGTGGAAACTTAGTGTGAGGGGCTGTGTTCACCTGCCAAGTTCTCATTCGGGTTTAAGGACAATTTTCATTCTTTGGAAGGCCAAGCCGTGTCGCTCTGTTCCAGGGGTGCCTTTATTACTTTCATTACCCTGTACACAATGCTTAGAATTGTCCAAGATTTTGGAGTGGTGCGACAGGGTCTTTAAATTACAGAGAAATGATGACAAAGTATGTTCTTTGGAAACGGCCAAGCCACGGCCAAAAAAAAAAAAAAAAAAAAAAACCCAAGCAGAAAATCACCAAGACAGCAATAATCCATAATTCAGACTTCATTGACACACAAGTACGTGTGTGATTAGCCTTGAGGGAGGGGCTGTTTAATTCCCCAGGAGAACATGAGTTATCAAGTAATTTCTTCAATGAAACCACCCGTCCACAATAAGCATTCAAACTAACCCGACCCCCAACACCCAGCTATCAATCTCACATTGGCTCAGATCATTCTGGTTTTGTGTGTTTATCCAAACAATGAGGAGTGAAATATAAGAGGAACTGTTTTTAATTTAAAGCATGTTAGAAAAAAGATTTCAGAAAATCGGTGTCGCATCCAGCCCTCATTTAAACAAGAAAAAAGTAACTTGTGAGTTCTCATTTTACCAGATGAATCCCGTTAAAGAACCACCATTACCCTCAAAGACACCCCCCCTCCCCCCCACATTAAAATCGCATCTCTGAGATAAGCATGCAATGCTGATTAAAACAGGACCCCTCCCAAGAATGTGGGCTGATGAGGTTCCAGTAAAAGAGGGGCTCCTTGGTGGCATCTCAGTGCCAAAGTCACAGGGGAAGTAACTGCTTCCATATCAAAAGCCTTGGCTGAGTTATCCAAAGGACAAAGGGCTGCCAGAGGTGCAAGCCAAGTGCTGCGGCTCTATGATGTCATTTCTGTCTACTCGCTGCAAATGACAGATAGACAGACAGGCAGACAGACAGACAGGCAGAAAGGGGCATCATGCATCCTCGGTTGAGCCAGCACATTCAGAGTCGTCATTTATACCAGCGCCTGATCCTCATGTGTGGGAAGGAAAATTACAGCTGACGACTCTGCCAGAGTAAAACGCGATATATCATTCCATCCATTATTCAATTATGAAATAAAACGGAAACTCTATAACTAGTTAGACGTTCATCGAAAAGACCTCTGCCTGGATTTCATTAGCAGATTTATTAATACGTGAAATACAGCAAGGGGAAGGATAACACCATAAATCATGGAAATCTCTTCTACGAACATGCTGTGAATTAAAAAAGCTTTTGCCTTCATGTTAATTCAAGTCATTGACGAACTGAAAACCACATTTGCGTTACAATGTCCACATAATAAGGCTTCCTTATAGCATTTTGGTGTACACCAAGGACTGATCCGTTTGAATTCTAGAAGTAATTGGTAAATAATTTTGCAACATATTTTCTACAAATCACTTAATGTGTCTATTTGTAGGGGTTCTTGTTTTAAAGGTGTTTTTAGTTCCTCTTCTGTTAATTAAAGGCTGCAATGCAAAGAAATTTGAAACACAGATGGTGGTTATCTACAAATTCATCCTGATGGGAGGGATTTGAAGTTTGCTTTGGCTACTTTACTAGTCCAAGAAGACAGCAGGAAATGGATAAGGAAAGAGCAGCTTTGGAAAATCACAGCGCATTAAAAACAAATCTACTGCGGCAGCCATCAGCTTAGAAGACTCAAGGAGCTTAAAGGGTCAACGGTCTAGAAACAGGTGGTGTGTACCTGATGCATCTTCCAGTACAGACTGACACCAAGGAAGAAATGCAAGATGCAGTGATGAAAAAAATGACTATACCAACTACAGTATAAGGCCATAAGGTCTTAGAGTTAATGTTGTCTTAAATCACAACAAAATAAATATTAGCAACTTGTAGCAAGGAAACTTGAACAGCTAATTTCCTTTATGAAAGGTCCTTCCCGAGGGCTTTATAGCTGCTCTGCATTCATGGGTACAAGGCCATACAATAGACTGCAAATACACTGACATTAAACATTGCTGAACTCTTTTCAAACTAATTTATAAATCTAAAATTGCTTTACAGACTATATATTCCTCTGCCTGTCTGAGCCGAAGTAAAGAAGAGTCTCCAAGCAGGAACAGTCTGACCTAACACCTTAGCATCAGCCAATTTCTCAGACACGGCAGTCATTCTTTAAAAGAAAAAAAAAAGAGCCCATTGCAGCACCTAAAGCCTCATAACAAAATAGGAATCCTAGATTTGGTAAGTGATGTCAAACGTTCTTCAGCTGCAAAAAAAATACAATATTAATTAATCTGGAAGGTTCATTGACAGACCAAGCATGAAATACGTATTCTAATACAAGACTAATTTAAATAAAAAAAAGCACCCTCAGTGAACCATATATGGGCATTTAACTTCCATATAATATAGGTCAAACTGCATAATAGGAGAATGTGTTACAGAAATGGAAACCATGATGAGACATGTACCCTTTTATCCTTATTCCTGTTTATAATATGTTTTGTACTATATGATTGTATTATTAATTTGTTAAAACTTTATTGTGTTTTTAAGAAATAAAGTTATAAAAAGATGGAGGGGTAAAAAATGGAACTTCACTGAGGTGGAAATTTTGCTGGATGTAATAGAAAAACAAACAAACAGGTATTAATTGGCAACTTCACCAGTGGCTGGTCAAAGAAAGAGAAGAACCTAGCATGGGGACAGGTGACATATGCAGTTAATGCTGTGTCACCTGTAATAAGAATAGCAGCAGGTGAGGAAGAAGTGGATTGATCTGAAAATGGCCACCAAAAAAGAGCTATCATTATAGGCAAGACATACCTAACAGGAAACGTTTCAGGGAGTGACACTTACGGCGCAGCTCCTTCACCCATGGATGAGGCTAGGCTATCAGACATAGGTAAGATACTGTTGTGGTTGTGTTTAACTCACTGCAGCAAGTGAAATATGTCACAGGCCACAGCAGACCAACAAGTGAATGTTGCTGAAAATGAACTGTGCCAGACACTGCAGTTGTTTTGTAATGCATATATTTAGTGACAGTAATATAATTTTTCTTTGGGCATGCACCGCAGTTACCCTTCTCTACTGCTAAGTTTACACATAAGCATGGTCAAGAGTATTGGTAAATAAAGTAATTCCCCCATATCAGTAGGTAATATGTTCCAAAAACTACGGCAGATGGCTAAAACTGAGGACAGTAGCGATTCAATCAAGTACCCCATATATGAGTTGGTGTACACACAAATGGTAAAGTTTAATTGTACATTAAGGCATTACCAATATAATTGTAAACAGTGATAATATAGTACATTGTACTTTTTATACAGCACTGTATAATGTAATACACTGTACTCTCTCTCTCGAATGAAACAGATTCGGATGTTTTAGCCTAATTCTCAAGTGATGATAGAGCAATGAAAAAATATGCACCAAGGAATGAAAATCATGCTTTTTATACATTTTTATAACAGACACTGATAATGTGGCAACAAATGCAATGAGTGAGAACGCTAGAGGCAAACTGGATGAGAGTTCTGTGGAGAAGCATGGATATGGGAACAAAAAGATATGTACTGGTGGATTTCACCATATTACAGCTTGTACTGAGTTGGTGTGCAGTTTGAAACTTATGAACCGTGGATAACTGAAACCGCGAATACAGGGGTCCCACTGTATACGCACATTTCTAATCACAGGAAGAAACTGACAAATACCATTCTATGTGTAAAAATGTCTGCATGCACAATTTATGCACAAAACTCTTCGTACACATGGTTGATAAATGAAACCCCAGAAATCTACAGTTGGGTGACCTCCAGCAGAGTCTGACAACTGCTTTTCACAACACAGGTGACAGTGGAGAACTTCACCGCTTGTCTGAGTATTTATACATACCACAGTGCATGTCAGCAAGATGGGTTAGCCACCCACACATGAAGTATCTTAAAACTCATCCAGTTTATCTCCAACTTCACAATAAGGTAGGAATCACATCCTGTTATTGCCAGAAAACAGTTCGCACTCAAGGATAACAAAAGCACAACATTCCGAACTTAACTATACACCTGTGCAAATCAAAGAGATCCATACCTTCTTCAGAGGGGTGTGTCTGGATAGGAGGTTCAAAGCAGGGATGTGCCAACAAGTGCTTGTCTCATAATTGATTATCCTCTCTAGGTTGTCACAATGACTGCTAAGTAACTCCCCCAGCTAAAGCAGAGTTTTTATCAGATGGTGTATTTAATAAGACACCTCTTTTCATGCTCTCAGGCCTCTTAAACAGTAATGGATTTACTCAATGGTCTCTCTATCTTTCTTTCTTTCTTTCTTTGAGTTTCACATTATTCCCAGGGACTCCAGAGCGCCTCACTGGGCCAGGTATTCCTCGATCGACTT